CGGATTTTAAAGCTTATTTAATAGAAGTCAAACAATATTATCATACAATTCATCTTTCTTCTCATCAGAAAGCTCAAAAAACCATAACAGTCTGTTCCCAACTAAAAATTCTAGACAATTAATGTTGTAAAAGATATATTTATTTGTATAATACATACACATATATATATATGACACTCCCCAGCGCATATGTTTGTATAGTTGCTTGTTTATTTTCTCCTAACTGTACTTGTTTATTGTGACATACCCCCTGGCATATTTATTTGTTTGTTTGTTTGTTTATATATTGTTCTGTGACTTTAAGTGAAAAAAAATAAATAAAAAATAAATAAATAAATAAAATAAAATAATACTCTTTCCCGGAACTAATTCTTCTTCTTCTTCTTGTTGGATTTATTGGCGGTTGGCAACAAACATTTAGTAGCATTAGCGCCACTTAATGGTATGGAGTGGGGTTCGTGATGGACTATCGACTAATAAACATATATATATATATATATATATATATATATATATATATATATATATATATATATATATATATATAAACTACATACTTATACATATCTTTGTTTTCTGCAAACACATTCACCCTCTCTATAATCAAATTCTATGAAATAATTTAGTTTTCTTCAAAAATTGGATAATTATTTGTATGTTTACTATCTACTAAATTAATCTTTTCCTTAATTCAGTCAAACTCTCTCCTCATAACTCTTCTCTGGCTTTCATATTTATGACATTCCAGTATAACATGTTCTGTTGTTTCATATTTTCCACAGTCATCACATTTTCCAGTAGTTTGTTTTTTAATTTTGAAAAGTGTTTAATTAAGTTCTGTTTGACCAAATCTTAATCTCGTTCTCTCTCTCTCCTCCTTTCTATTTTGTCTTCCATTTCTTCTTGTTCCTACCATCTTCTGAATTTTATAAAACCATCTTTCTGATTTTTTTTCTATTTTTCCATAACTTTTTCTTTAATAAAACCTTTTCCCTCCAATTTACTTGTTTTAACTGCAGAACTAATAGGATTTTGAATTGTTCTCTTTCCCATTTTATCTGCCCTCTGGTTTCCTTCTTCTCCAATCTTAGCTGGAACTCACACAAATACAACTAACTAACCCATATTTATTATTCTGAATAAGGTATGAAATATTTCTAATAGAATATGCATCCTACTATCTGACTGATTATATTTATTTAAACTTAATAATGCAGAGCTTGAATCAGAACAAATTACTGTTTTTAATGGTTTTATTGTATAGCTAATAATATTGCCAGCATTTCCCCTGTTTATACTAATAATCCATCTGAAATTCCTTTACCTATTTTTATATTGAATTCTGGCATTACAAAAGCTATTCCTATTCCTATTTGTTGTTATTTTTGATGCATCAGTATAAATTTGCATATATTGATAATAACTGTCTAAATGTAACTGTACTAAATTAATATCTAACATGTACAATTTATCTTATTTCTTTCCAATTCCCGGAACTAATTTTTTTGTTCCCACCATTTTATTGTGTCATCATTTTCCTCTCAGTTATCACTCAACTTATCTGAATTAAAGTTAATTTCGTATTGACTCTTAGTTTATTTACTGTTTTTACTCTACTTATTGTTTTAAAAATATGATTTAAAATCCTAGTCCACAAGCATTCCTCATTCACAATTTCCCCTAAATTTTCACGTTGTGATATGTTTTACTTATTTATTGGCTGCATCTAAAAATATCAAAGGTATTTTCAATTTAAACATAGATATGAAATAATACAATATAAAATTAATACATTATATCATTGTTCTAGGTCATCAAACCAATTCAGTTTAGTCTGTCAAATAAACTGTATGTAGTGTCTTTAAATGTCCAGCAGGTGTCAGTATTCTGCGAGACAAAATCAATACAGTTTGGCTTCAAAATGCCTCATTAACCATCACTGCTCTGCATTTAACCCATCCCCTTAGGGAGAGGCATAATTCACGGACAAATATTCTGAATTATTCAACAAAAAGGAGAAAATGTAAACATAAAGAAGCATTAAAGCTTTTATTAAATTTAACTATACAAGTTGCCATTTGTTATGTACACATTGGTTGCCAGGTTTGCTTCTCGTTCGCCTCGGAATCTTGAAAAGCTTTATTTTAAGATTCTGTAAACAAGGTTTTAAGCGCTGACCATGTATTAATATTATGTACACATACTGCAAAAGGGTGTAATAGAATATATAAAAAATAACAATATAAATGTTAGTATCAATTGAGTCAAATTATTTTTGAAAACACTGAAAGAAAAAGAAAAGAAAGGCAGCAGAATGTAAAGCAAAAATCCAGGAAAGTAGCTGAAATTTCCCGAAATTCACAAAGGTGTTTATGATTTATAAATGGACACTGTTGATATGTAATATTATATGCCAATAAATATAAAATAAACGAAAAAACTTGTAGGCTAAGGTCGTGTTTTATCAAAGAGACTGTCACCATCAAAGTTTTTATTACTTTTTTTATTGTTTGTTTCTGTTTTATATATTTGACATAAAGTGGTATAAAGTTGTCAAACTGTCGCTGTGAAGTTTTAAACTATTAACTGATCGGTATGTATAAAGAAAGAACCAAAAATCTACCAGTTCCGGTTTGGGCATAAGGATCAGACCTGGCAACCCTCTGGGCCTCCGTAAGGCGCTCTTTCATCCTGGCACTTTACCTTCATCCTGGTACCTCGAAAGTCCCCGGACCAAAAACAGGAAGTAAGTAGTCAAATCAAAAGTAAAATTCACTTTCTCTTCGGTGGCCAGAGGCCACAGCATGCCCGGGAGCTAAAACACAGCATAATAAACTCCCAGAAGTTTCAAACGGAGCTAAAACCACACAGGGAGCACAAGCTAGAGCCTTTCGACAAACATGGCGCCGCAGATTTTTATGTCGTCTTTCTTTTAGCTCGGTGCTATCTGTTAGCTTCGATTCAGAGCAACTGTTTACACTATTTTAATTGTTTTTTTTAATGCTTTTTATAAATGGTTTTAATCAATATTGTTTCTGCTAATTAATATTATAAAACACGAGTGTACTCTTTTGTGGATGTGTTTTTTCATCCCTTGGGGCCGCTTTCCAAACTCTACCAAAAAAACAACTACTTTTATTCATTCTCCCAATATTTAGGAAAGAAATTACCATAATACAGTTTAGTTTTTTATTAAATATACTTTTGGTAGTCAGATTTACGATTCGGCATGCATTTTGGGTAGTAATATTAATTGGTCATTCCAATTTATATCAAAACAATTTCCAAACAAATGCATGTTTACGTAATGTCAACATAAAACCGATAGAGGGCGACAGCGCGCAGTGAAAGCCAAAAGCTTCTGTGAATTTATCACTCATTACAGCTTTTTTTCTTTTTTATTCTGCTATAAAATATTCCGTTTTCATTTACATCTGGAAGTTTGGTTAATTTACAATAGGACAATTACAAATTTATAATGAAAAATTACAGTTTTGACAATCCTAACTTGGAAAAAACAAAAAAAAGTGACTAATCTGAACAAGATGATTCAAATACACATATTGTTATTAGTCCAAAGAACACATAAAATATGCAACATCAAATAATTTGAATAAATCATTTAACTTTCTTATTCTGGGCCAATAGATGATAAAAAGTTGTTTAATATTGTATTAAGAAATGCACAATGAATTGTTTGTCTAAAAATACAGAATTGCTTTAATTTTTGTCTTTTTTTTTTTACATTTTATTTAAGGTTAAGCATAAGTGGTGTCCATAGGAAATGTAATTCTAAAGTAAGGATAATATTAGAAGTTATCGTTTAAAAGCTCCTAATAGATATTTGTCTTATAGACTTACATCATTGTAAATTCAGCAGATATGAACTTGTAAAAATTTCTGTAAAGGTCATTTCTGTCATTTTTTTCTTTATAGATTTATTATTTTCTTTGCTCTTATATTATAAACCAGATTTTTCTAGATTCTGCCGGGGTAACATGCAGGCTGTGTGTCAGTGGTGCAGCTGTTAGGTTGGTGTGTTTTTGTGTGTTCTGCAGGTGCAGGATGAGCTCGGCAGCAGAAGAAGAACCGGCAGCTTTAGAAAGCGTGAAGCCCGTCACGTTAACTCAGGACAGTGATGGGAGCATCATCCTACACTGTCCTTCAAACGGTGGGTCAACAGAAACAGCAGATCCTTAGCTTATTACTGAGGCCTTGGTGAATAAACAACCCAGTACTGACTGGTTTTGATAGATTTTAAACCTATCTTTGATGGGTTTTTATTTTAAATCACGCCCCACAGACTGTGCTGAGATTTGTAAAACGCCTTCAGATAAATTCAGATTTTATCGAAAGCTGTAAAACCTCTAATTGTGAGCTGCAGAAAGGTCCAAAGTGATATTAATTCAGTGGAAAAACAACACAAAACCTTCAGAAATAAGAATCTTTGTCTGAATCAGACAAAAGGACTCAGTTCTCCAGTAAGATTTTAACATAAAAATAAATGGATCTCTGGAACATCTGTGTAAAGAGGAAAAGTTAGATTCCTCTCTGATTTTCCAAGGTTTTCTGATTGATTCACATCTGGAAAGCAAAGTGAGAACTGAAGTGTCTTCTTAACCATGTTTTAAATGAAATGACTCCATAAATGGCACCACACTGGGTTTTCTACTCACTAATCTGCAACTTTAAAGAATAACGTGATCTTATGACTTTGATTTCAATCAGGAAAGTCACCCAAATATTTAAGATGTTTATTGCAGGTATAATAATTCTCCCTACATGTGTTCATATTTACAGGCCATCTTCAAACATATTTCCTTTTACCAAATTAG